TTACACCCCTTAAAATCAAGAAGGCCTCGCGACCCCCTACGTAAAGCTTCAGCGACCCCTAGTGGAGGTTCTCGACCCCCCAGGATGTTAACAGTTTGACAGGTATGAGTGTTGTGGACAAAAAATCCCTTAAAATTGTCCCTGTTGAACTGATTTAAGTCCCCTTTCCTCGCCGGGTGTGGCTACACGTTTTGACAAATCACTGACCCAGCAGACGGTTGTACAATAATTATAATAAAATATCACATAATCAGATCATATTATATGTTTATTATAGTAATATAGAAACATTATTGCTCCATTGATTCGTAATAAGACTATAAAAACCCTCTGGATTATATTGTGTCTTATCTATCATCAATATATCAATATGTTATAGATTATTATATTCTGTATTGAGCTATTTTAATTGTCTTATTGGGTTTTTCTATTATATATTTAGTATTTTCTATCCGAGCTGTAAGAGATCGAGCAGCAGGTCCGTTGTGCTCCTGCAGCTATTTGAATAAACACATTACAGTTTATAGAAGTTTTAATTAGTTCGATTGTTGTTGGCAGATATTTTGTCTATTTTAAACTCAGCAGCTTCATTTTCGGGACAAATCGCTGCTGCAGAACGAGCCCGCGGTGTCGCTCCGCTCGCTATGCAAACGCAACATTTAACGTAATTACATAACGGCGGCAATCTCTTCCCCCGATCTCTCCCTCCGCCGCGGCCTGCCGGCGCTCACAGAGATTGTCATCGGGCCGGGAAATTGAGTGTGGTTATCTGAAGAGAAGCTCTAACAGACAGGATGGTAACTGGCTCCCCTGCGTCTGACTCCTGGAGAGATTAAAAACACTGGACGTCAGCCCAGGGGGGGGTTGTGGCACTGCACGGCATTCTGGGAGATTGCCGCCATAACCTTGATTGAAGGAGACCCAGCTGTTCAGTGGGTTTGTTTGTGTGGTGGTAAACAAAGTAGGTGCAAGTGAGGACAAATGTGAGGCACAAATCCTTCTGGGATCACGAACGCTGAACCAGAATCCAGGTCTGTTCCTCTGGTTCCCAACCTGGAGTTCGGGGCCCCCACCGGGGGGGCGCCAAAGCTTCATAAGGAGGTCACGAGGCCTTCTTGATTTTAAAAACTATACTTTTTAAAAATGACAAATGGTGTCGACCCAATTCAAGTAAATCTGTGCAGAAACAAACATTCCTGAGCAATTTTTACTGCTGTTTTTGCATCAGGTCATATTTTATGTTCTGCAATATTGCAACAGGACGGGGTACTGAATCAAACAGCTGTTTTCTCCGAATAGAGTGTTATATCTCGTTCATACTCCCCTCCAATAGTTGGCAGACATCCTGTACTTACCTTAGCTCAGAAATACATCATGCTTCAATGCAAAATGTTCGAGGAAGTCCCGTCCAAACTGTTGGGTGAGAAACTGGAAATAGTGTGCCACAGCGCCATTTAGGCTGAAGCGGTATTGCTGGATTTAGGAGTTATTGAGACGGAATAAACAAAAATGGCACGCAAAAAGTTGACGCTTAGGGAAGTGATGGGTCTCCTTTTTCGCTGACCCTGATTCTGAAGGAAAATCTACCTCTGGGAGGTGACGGTCGGTCGATTAGTGAGCGTGATGGTCACGGTGCGTCTTTGCAATGGCACTGCCACACAAGCACAAACACACGACCCTTTGCCCAACATAGGTGGGAGTGGAAATGATAAACGAACTCGTAGTATGATGAAATAAGTTCAACTCTCTTTCAAAATATCAGGTATTTCATGGAAATTACATAATCCAATATGGTCATAATATGCAAATTAGATGGGAAAATGTACTCCCTAGATAAACTTTAGGTCATTCTCAATATTTGTATAATTTACACTTTGTCTCTATCTCAAACCATTTTCGAGCCAGAGCCTTCTGAAATTTAGGGTAGTATTTTTCAAAATAAAACCCGGCGCCTAAAGGGTTAAGTTATTTTTTAACTTACAAAATTGAGAAATAACTTAACGTATTTATTTACTTTACATCTGATAAACCTGCTGTAAAGTTCATCCTACCAACAGTCGAGTTTTAAACTAAATACGCACTCAGGTTTACAATCTGAGTGAGGGGCTAAAAGATAAACATTTCCAGGATATTTTAATTTATAATAATTTAATTTTCCAGGTGCTATAATAATAAACATTAAACAACATTATGTTACATATTACGTGTCTTTTTTTTACAATTTCTTGTCCGTGATGCTGAAATATTGTAAAAAGAAGTAAAAAACCAATGAGGCGTCCTGTTACAGTAAATACTTAAATTAATTAGTTAGGTCGTATTTATAAAGGATTTAACGTGTAACATTCATAATATATATAATAAAGTGATTTATTAAACGTATATCTGTATAAAATGCAGCTTTAACATATAACAAAATTATGTCAATGTCACTTTAAATTACTTTAAATTAAAACTACTTGATGAAGAATGTTTTTTAATTAAAAAAATAAATTAAGTTTTTCTACAAAAAAATTGGTTTTATAGGAAAAAAAAAAAAAAAAAATGTTCCTTAAACAGGAAACAATCTGCTCTGAATTTATCTAAATCACTAATTTTACATAAACTTCCAGCAGTCACTGAGTTCATTAGTCGGGTTAATTGAGCAGTTTTTAATATAATATTAAATATATCCATTAAATATGTCACTGAGTCAGTTTATTCGATGATCCCTTTAAGGAAGAAGAGTTTCCTCACAACCTCGGGATCTCATTATTCTCGCCCCGAGGAGAATTGATCAAACAACGCAGTCGAACCCACTGATACGATAACGAGCCAACAGCCAACTAATTATCTGCTCTTAGACCTCCTATAGGAAAACTATGTCCTCTGGCCCGACGCCGCTGCCACACGGCGTCCTCCAGCACAGTTTGTGTCTCGCTGTCCGCCATCGACTCCTCTTATATCGGAGGAGGACGGACTCCGATCGGCGTCCTTCAGGTTGAGCACGGCGGATACGACACAGAGCAGTTGGACACATGAAGAATAAAATCTAATTTATTGAAGGAAAAATCCTCTTTTTAACTTCCTTTAATTATTATACTGTTGATTTATTACAGTTATTTCTCTCTTACATCAAAACAATAACAACCCCCGGAGTTTGATTTAGATATAAAACATTAACTAATGAGCTGCTGATTGGTGGACTTTGTTACTGTATTGAGCCAGGCTAGCTGTTTCCCTTTGTTTCCAGTCTTTATGCTAAGCTAAGCTAACCCGTGCATCAACCTCCAGCTACATATCAACCAACACATCTAATTGTGTTTGAGGAGCTCTGGTGGGACCAACAACCTCCTTTTGTCTCCCATAAATACCTCGAGGACGCCACCTGTCCCCGGGGAAATACACAAATACCACCATCACTCTCTCGTCTGATTTAAGGTGTCAGCTCGTCAATTATTTAAAGGGGGGAGCTGATCAGGCGAGAGGACGGGTGAGGGAGACAGACTCGGTGTGACTGGAGATCTTAAGAGATATTGACGGTGAAAACCAGAATAATCAACTCTGGATTAATTCAGCAGTGATTGCAGAGTGAAAAGAAACAGAAATCGATGTCTTCTTCTTCCTCGCTGCTGATTGTTTTCCTTCGTCTTCGGCTCTCGAGTTGTCTCCCCCTCTCTCTATCTCTCTCCCTTTCTCTCTCTCTCTCTCTCTCCCTCCCGAGAGTCTTAATTCCTTTGCCTGCAGAATAACAATCTGCTCCGGTGACGCGGCCCCCCGTGACTCAGGACGCCATGAATTGAAACAATCCTCTGACATCGTGTTTCTGCCGTCTGCAGGTGAGGACGCTCGCGGAATAATCAGCGTGGATCGATGGCGCTCTGCTCTTTATTCCGCTCACAGTCGGCGCCGAGCTTCTGATGGAAAGGTCTTCGTCTCTCTCTCGACGCCCGCTGATTATCATTTCCTTCACACCGCACCGGGCAGTTGTAACCCCGACCTTTGACCCCGATACCCAGTTCTGTTTGTCTTTAGCAAGAAAACTCAGCTTTTTAACTTTATTTTAGAAGCTGACTCAGAAACTTTAGGTGGGTGTGTGTGTGTGTGTGGGGGGGGGGTTTAGAGGCTCGTTTCATGCCACTGTTTTAAAGCGGGAAACTACGGTGGCCACGAAATGTACAAATAAAATTTTGTATTTTACACTAAAGAAAACAAACCTGTTAGCCTCCTTAATGTCCCACTGGACCTTTAAAGTGTAAAATCACCTGAATATCGTGTTATTGTTACCTTATAATGGACGCTGGATGTAGGCGGGCTGAGGAGGCGGCAGCACGCCCTAAAATCAGGTGTAATGAAACCATTCGTTCATAAAAATGTTTAAACATATGATGACTCTCTCCCTTTTTTACTGGGATTTAAATGTTTACGCTGATATTTACGGCAGGAAAAGTGGTTTTACCTCATTCTTTTATCCAGTTTATCAACTAAAAAGTTGTAAAAGTGTGTGTAAATTCTTGTAAATAACTATTAACTATGATATAAATAATCCTGGCTGTTCAAATTAATGCAAAAACCATAAATATAAATTAAAGTTGCAAGCAGCGATAAACGGGCGCTCATCGTGTCACATGCCGTCGTAACACGTGCAGACCACAACATGAAAATTTTACATAAATCAGATCAAAATTGTCACGCAACGTTTACTTGTTTTCTTAAGTTTTCTCCTTCCTCTCCTTTGACACTGGCTTTTGTCAGGCTCCACGTCGTAGGGTGTTACAGTGGTCTAACTGTAGTAGTTTAATCAATTAATGGTTATCAAAATTTAGAATTATCAAAAGATAATAGAAAATGACTTTTGATCAGTCTCATAAAAATACACTAAACTATTAATTCAGATGTCAGATTAATAATTAAATTGATAACTACAACCAAAATCATTAATAATAGCTAAAGTGGGAGCTTTGGAGTTCTACATAGAAGAGGTTGGTATCACTCACTCTTCTACGAAATTAAATAGGCCAGCATATGTAAACACAAACATTTATTAACCAGATATAATAAAAGCAAACAGAGGAAAATACACAATATACAATCTAATCTATCTAACCTGTCTATGTCCAGTACGTTACAGACAGTCCAATGGAGATATAGAAGAGTTGCGGGTGAGCTATATGGGTCAGCCGGCGGTCCTGTAAGCCAGGCTGATCAGAATTGTGGTTCTGAAGTCCAAACTGTCTTTGCTGTGCGATGTCCGCTGCCGCAGCTAGCAAGAGGAAAAGCGTTCCGCTCGTTGCTCTGCAGAGTGAACGACTCGGATTCGGACACGCACTGAAATATACGGTGTAATGATCTGATATTCCGTCATCTCGGAAAACAAGATCAGAGATTTTAACATTTCTGGTGAGGACCGGATCCAGAGTGTTACCTTCTTTGTGTGTTAGCACCTGTACATGCTGCTCAAGGCTGTAGATCGGCCAAATATGATCAAACTCATCAGTGAAACCCCTCTTTTCCTTAGAGACATGGATATTGAAATCTCCAGCCACAATGATGCTGTTGTAGGAGCTGAAATAATGTAAGACCTTTTCAAACTCATCCAGAAATGTAAGGAACTCGGGCTGTGGGCGGTTCGGTCGACGATACACATTGATGATGATGATGATTTTTTAACCACGTCTCTGTTGTGAGAAAGACGTCCAGGTTGTTTTGTATTATGAGCTTAAAGATCTCAAATGTTTTTCTTTCCATTGAGCGAACATTAAGTAACCCCACTCTTATAGTTCCAGGAGGTTTCTTCTCTTCATCACTCTCCTCCTCTCTGTGAATAAAACAAGTAAACAGACAGTTAGCATAAATAAACATCAGTGGTTGCAAGCAAACAGATCTTCTGCGCCTCTTTCATGGTGTCACTGGATATGAAGCTCTCAGTGATTTTAGAAACCAGAGATACAGTAAGACCTAGAACTGAAAACGCTGCTGCTAAGCCTAAAATTGGAGCAGCTGCACCGCCTGTTAACACAGTGACACCGGCCCCGATCAGAGCTAAGGATCCCAACACTGACACTTTGCTTCCATTAAATTCTGCAGCATTACATTTCTCTCTGAGTGACTCCAGCTCCTGGGCCAGAGTCATCAGCTGCTCTGCACAGTCCTCCATCTGCTCAATCCAGGAGAACATCAGCTCCAGCAGCTGGTCAGCGGTGGCCATGATGGAGGTCTCTGTGTCCTTCTGATCCTCCAACCAGAGACCAGACAACTGAGATCAAGTCTGAAAGAAGAAAGTCAGAGGACACTTTGAATTAATTGGTGCAACTAAAACCATCTCCATGACACTTGAGTAAACTCCATCTGCTGATAGATGGACGTGCATCGGTAAGCGTACTGACTCATTCCCGATATACCTGCTGCTCTGTGTACACTGTTTGGTGCTGTAGCTCTGTCAGTGAACAGTAAACGCTACTTCCTTCTTTTAGCGACTTTTTGCTATTTACAGTATATCCCCCAGTAGCTGGTGTGGGCCAACCGAAGGTAGCTTCTGTTCGCCGTCCCCCGGTAGTTCCCGAGCAGCTGGGAAGCCAGGGAGAGTGGGTGACTGAACGGAGGAAGAATAAACAGCTGAAGCCCACAGTTCACCACCAACCCATTCATGTTTCCAATAAATTTTCCCCACTCAGCGACAAACCCGCTGAGGAACCAACTCTGATTATTGGCAGCTCCATAGTCAGAAACGTGAAGTCAGTGAAGCCAGTGGCCATAGTTAAATGTATCCCTGGGGCCAGAGCGGGTGACATTGAATCAAATTTAAAACTGCTGGCTAAAGATAAACGTAAATACAGTAAGTGTTTATGACACCCGTTTACGCCAATCGGAGGTCACTAAGATTAATGTGGAGTCGGTGTGTAATTATGATTAGCAGAGACGGCATCCATCCCACTTTGGACGGAGCGGCTCTCTTATCTAGGAATATGGCGAAGTTTATTTCTAAAACCTGACAGTCCAGAGTTAGGACCAGGAAGCAGAGCTGCTGTCTTACACACTTCTCTGCGCTTTCTTTAGAACAGTCACCCACCCAAACCCCCATAGAGACTGTGTCTGTCCCCCGACCACCTAAATTATTTAAAGAAACCTATAAGCCAGAAGCCTTTTTTGTGTGCTGCCTATGTCAGAAGACCTGAGCTCCCCTTTCTACGTAAGAAGCTGATTCATTAGCATAGCACCACCTCCCTCGGACAAGAGTTGCCTTTGCTGCTGTCCGCCATGTTTGCCCTGCAGTGGCTGTTCCTGAAAGCCTGGAGCTAAGTGCTGCAGCTGCCCTGATGTTCACTGCAGGGACCAGCACAGAAGTCTGTATGTCCTCCCATCATCAGAGGAAGATACTTATTTTATTTTGGATTATTTATTTATTTCTAAAATAAGTTCACATGGTAGACGAGCACGGGAGTTAACGATAGAGCTACTGTGAGGGAGAAATAGTCAAACTGCAGGGATTCGTTAGTTTAATAATATTGTGTAACTCTGATTAGTCATTTTTTGATAGTAGCATGTAAAATTTTTCAGCTACAAGTTTACAGGAAGTCACATGACAGGATGAAGCTCACTTTCTGTAAGTCATGTGACTTTGTGTAAACTTGTAGCTGCTGATTTTCTGCACCAGGGGCCGGCAGATTGAGGGGTCTGGGAGCATGTTTTTCCCGCCACTGACAGCAGCTATTGCCCAATAAAACCTTCATCCAGTTTATTATCTAATTGTTCTCTGTCTGTCTTTTAGGGGACATGGCGGGGAAATACTTTTCCCCGAGAAATATTTTGAGCGTAGAAAAGTCCTGAGTGTGTGTTTGAGTAAACCCTGAGCAATGGAGAAGTTTAATGGAGTTTTTTTTTACTTCGCCTAGGAACATAAAGAAATTAAGTCTGTGCTCGGTTTGAGGCAGTGTTTCTGAATAAGTGAAAGACAGCTGAAGACGTTACTCAGTATTCTCAATGGGAAACAAGTTTGGCAAACATCCACCAGCAACCGTCTTCTACTGCAGTTGGTCAGAAATTAAATCTACTTGGTCCGCCAAAGTACGTTTTCCATCGATACCCGGTGACTGAATCAATAAAAGTGTGTTTTTAGTCATTTAGTCAAGGGCTATTCAAAAGTAAAAAATAAACTATATGAAGATTTATTTTATTTTGCATTCTGAGAATAAAGTCTGGTAACGTCATGTGGCTGCAGTTTATTGTACGGATTAGGGATGCCCCGATCAGGTTTTTTTTAGCCCCTGATCTGATCCGAGTAATTTAACATTGAGTATCTGCCGATGCCGAGTCGGATACTTGTTTTGTGTTTTTAGATAATACAGATACAGAGTGCAGACTTCAAGTACATTAAAGTGAATCGTTTTGCATTGCATCAAGAAACAAACTAAACAAGAGTTTTATTGTTATTATATTTTAGATATTTAAATCTACAGAATGAGAAGCAAAGACAGAAAAATAAGAGTTTCTTACCTGTTGTGAAAGTTCTGTTTGGATAAAGTGTGAAAGTGAAGTCAGGCTCTGTGTTTGTCCGTCTGTCTGACTGCAGCAGAGTTTCTCATCTGAGCTTCATCCTGCAGCTCACTTTCTGTAAGTCATGTGACTTCCTTTTAACTTGTACCTGCTGATTATTGGCAGCAAGGGCCCAGAACACAACTAATATTGAGGAAGACTCATTTTTCTGATTTTGTAGACGTTTGTAGATATGATGCATAGAATATCCCATTTTAACCAGACCTGACAACTTTGCTAAATAAAATTGAGTTTTCGTATATGTTCAGGGGGGTAAAAATAATAATAGGTAAGAAGAATTCTAGCAAATACAATAGGGACCTCCAGCGGTCGCAGTGTTTTTCTTTAAAATCCTATTTTCAGAATATTTCAGAATATTGTTATTTGATAATACTGTATCATCTCTTTTTAGCCAAGAAGCTAATAAAGTAACAAAAAAACAATAATTCTTATATTCAGGTGATTAAACACTAATCAAAACAAACATATTAATATTATATTCCAGTTCTGACAATAAATCCTCTAAAAGTTTCACACTCTACTAAAAAAAGGTTGTTTTTATGCAGAAAAGTTCCTTTAAATCACCTTTAAAATGAAACAGTTATCAACTTGTGGTTCCTCATCACAGATCAGAGCTTTAATATCGTCGTGTGAGTGAATTTCACTTCACAGATTGTTTGATTGGAACAAAGGAGGTAAAATTATTAACAAAATTAGACAAAAGTCAGAAAACCATTAACATAATGTTTTAATGTAATAGAAATAAAATAATGACCACGTCTTATTTTGGTAAAACAACAAAAACAAATCAAAAGTCATAAAAAATAAAATAAAAATTATGTTTTCTTTTTCTTTTTTATGATTCGTTTACACATTTTTTATTTTGTTTTGTTTTTATTGTTTTTTACAGGTTACACTTTAAGGGAAATATATCCAGATTTAATTCCACAACCTTGCTGTGAATGACATTAAAATGAAAGTCATAGTTTATCCTCCGTATAATGAGACACTGAGAGGCCAACCGGTGCAAACTAACAGCCCCGAGGCCTTCAAACCAGATAAACTACCACATAATCCCTGACAATCATTGGGCTTCACATCGCAGACATAAATCAATACAAACAAACCGCAGCGTCACGTTTTATTAAAACCCTCTCTTTAAATTACTGTCACCAGGCAGCTTTCACCACTTTTTAATTCACAATAAAATAAATAAAATAAAATAAAATCACACTTCAGGTTCAGTGAGTGAATCGTCTGATGTCAGTCTCACCTTCTCATCCCAACATTCACTGTAATCCATCGATTTAAAATGTGCCACTGAATCACTCACAGCTGCTTGTTTCATCCAGAACATGTTGTGCTTTGCTTCCTGCCAATGGTGCGTTCAAGGACCGTGAATCAGAGAATGAAACAACTGTCCTGGTAGAAATTTGGGGATTTACTGATTTCTAAAGATTAATTCGAGGTAAAAATGTGCTGTTAACTATATTTTTATGTAGCTATACATCTAATATTTATTTGACATAAAACCCACTTATTCGCAGTGTTTATCAGTAAAAGTCCAACAATTAAAATGTTACTTAAATAAAAATATAATCAGGAAAATGTAAAGTATTAAGAATAAAAGTACTGTGTTATTAAATGTGATATCATTAGATTAAAAACAGGATTTTACTGTTGCTCATTTTTAACTACTGGACTGCCACTAATAATTATTTTAATTATGGATTAATTTGCTGATTGTTTGATTGTTTGTTTGATTACTTTTTCACAATATAAAACGTCACATTTGAGAAGCTGGAACCATAAAATGTTTTTACATGAAACAGTTGCCAATTAATTGTCTGTTAATTGAATTAACTGATTAATTAACTAGTACTTTTATAAACTGTTTTATATCAAAATATATTTTATAAACTCTTTGTATGTTTTGTATTTATACGTCTTCATTTTTAAAGTAACTAAAGCTGTTAGATAAATGTGGAGTAGAAAATAGTAAATAAAAGTGACAGTAACCTGATTCAACACGACCCTAAACACAACTTAACCATAATTACTTTGATTTTTATTTCATTTTAAACCATTTTATTATGTTTTGTGCCTCCTTTCTTGTGACCGATGTTTGTAAACATAATCAGAAATACTTTATTGATCCCCGGGTGGAGAAATTTGTTGTGTTACAGTTCGTCAAGTTGCAAAACAAGATCTAATCTCCTATAGCAGTGGTTCCCAACCTGGGGGTCGGGACCCCTACTAGGGGTCGCCAAAACTTCACCAGGGGTCGTGAGGCCTTCTTGATTTTGAGTTGTGTTATAAAACTCAAAAAATATACACAGCAGGCGTATATCTCTGCATTTGGTTCATTTCTGGGTAAGAAAACACTGAACTTGTAAAAAAAAGAAGTTTATTATGTCTGTATGATTGTTAAAAATGATTTAAAAAATACATAAAACAGAGAATTGGGTTCATTGTACAGTTTTTAATATAATATAAAATATTTAACAAAGTGAACTGGGCAAAAGGTGAGCTGATGCCAGTGCGTCGTTGTGACCCAGGTGCACTAGAACAAACCCCATTCAGATTGGAAATGGGAGAAGTTCACATATTTGGGGTTATAAATTACAAAGAAATATAATAAATTACTTGAGGCTAATTATGTGGCTATATTAAATACGTTTAAAAACAAACTATTGTTCTGGAAAACCCTCCCTATTTCCTTGATTGGTAGAGTAAACGCACTTAAAATGGTCTGTCTCCCTCAGTTACTGTACCTCTTTCAAATCTTACCCATCTTCCTTAGTAAAACCTACTTTAAAAAACTAGACTCTATGATTCTTTCATTTATCTGGAATTAAAAAACGCATAGGATCAGAAAGTGGCATCTGTGCAAAAGTAAAACAAATGGCGGGTTGGCCCTCCCAGATTTTATGAGGTACTATTGGGCAGCAAATATTCGATGCATCTTCTACTGGCTGGATGAGACAGTTGTGCTCGGCAGCTGGCTGGACATGGAGCAAGAGGATTGTGTCCCCTATTCGATCGGTGCTATAGCCATAACCCAATTATACCCAACACTATTCAGATCTGGAGGCAAATATCAAAACAACTCAAACTTAGGAAGCTATCCTTTACACTCCCAATATCAGCAAATCCATCATTCACTCCTTCTATTATAGATGGAGGCTTCGATAGATGGAAAGAACTTGGACTGCACAGTGTGGGAGATCCGTACGTTAGTGGTTCATTTGTGTCTTTTCAACAACTACAAGAGAAATGTGGTCTGTCAAAAAGCTAGACAGGTGTCTCAGAGATTGCACAATGGAGAGGAATGTAATTTCAGTTATATACGGTTCATTTCAAGAGCTAGACCAGGTGAACATGACATACATAAAGGAAGGCTGGGAAGAAGAATTGGGTACGGGAATAGCAGAGGATATATGGGAGGAAAGCCTGAGATAGATCAACACTTGCTCCCTGAATGCTAGACACTGCTTGATCCAGTTTAAAATTCTGCATAGGCTGCATTACTCAAGAGTAAAATTACATAGAATATCACCCATCTGTGAAAAATGTAACCATGCGGAGGCAAAACTACTTCACAGTCACACACTAGACTACATTAAGGCCAGATCCACTCTTGGTTGTACTAGGGACATCAGGGAGCGCTGGGAACCTGCAGCATATGCAACGCCGCCTTCTATCCTACGGTCTCCTCTGTGGGGGAGACACCAACTTTTAAAGCGTGGTTAACGGCACCGACTGCATCTTGAAAGGATTCGTTCTCTTAGTGACAGATTGGAGGACTTCAAAAGGATGTGGCAACCAATTATTTCTGTCTTGAAACAGGATGTAGGACAACCTGAGTAGTACTTGGTGGGCAGGACGGGGTGGGACAGGGAGGGAGTTATTTACTCATTTACTTTATTTTATTTATTTACTTGTTTTTGTATACTTTTCTATTTTTTCTCCCATCTATTGTTTATTTACTTACTTGTAGTACACCTTTGTTACTTATGTTACAAAACAACGGAGCATTGAATAAACCAAAGATGGTTGTATTTTTGATATACTGTTTGCTTCACGATAAAAATATTTGAAATATAAAATAATTATAAAATATATCAGGTTACTAAATCATAAAAAAACGGGTTGTAGTGTTGGGAACCACCATCTTACAACACCAAAAACTACCGTTTTCAGCTCAATCTTAACGTTTATACATTAAAGAGTAAAGAAATTCCTACACTCCCTGAAGGCAGCACCGTCGCAGAGGCGCTCGCCGCCGCTCTGCGCTCTGATTGGCCGGCGGCGGCAGCGGTGGGCGGGGCTGCCTGCGGAGTGCGGAGACAATAGAGAGCGGCTCCAGGGACGGTCAGTAGCGGGGAGACAGTGACACACAGACGGAAGGTTTCTGCCTCAGCACCGCGGAGGAGAAGAAAATACAACAACCGGGAGACCTGCGACATTTCCCCCCCGACGGAGAGTCAGCTGGTGTCCGGATGCACTGACGGACAGTGAATGCGGCACGTTGTGAAAGGTAATCAATCAACTGATCATTAATGTGTCTTTACATTGTGTTTTTATTCAGATTCTGCTGCTCATTAATTGATCTGTGTGTGTGTGTCTTTGTTGTAAATCCTCACACTGACCGGGACTCCTGTTGTGTTTACAATCAGGGTTATCGATCACAATCAATAACATTTAAACTGTTTTATTTCTTTAAACTGTGAATCATATTTTAAATTCTTACACACACACACACACACACACACACACACAACAACTTCCATCCAACTCAGCTCAGACTGAGCAGAACAAAAGAGCTGCAGTTTGTGTCCCAGCTGCACGTCTGAGACTGTTATCGATGAATTATTGGTGGATTTATTGATCCGCACATGATCAGGGTTTTATTCACATGTGCGGTGACTTCACATGTGCAGCAGGCTGTGATGGACATAATGAATGCTTTGTGTCTGCAGAGCGGATTCACATGTCTTTGTGCTGCAGGTTTTTTTTTAATGCTGGCAGACTGTAAACAGTGTTATTGATCTCTGATCGAATGCTTTGATACCTTTTGCTTTTATTATTTTGTGTTAATAGGGATTATCTTTATATTCTGGGGGAATTACATCCAACAGCTTTCAGGCTGCAGGGGTTTTTTGTCATCAGGGCTCTGATAGCTTAAATTATTTATTGATTTATTGATCAGTTTATTAATGGAACAATCATCAGCAATCGATGGGTCGTTTTAGGCATTTTTCAAGAAAAAACAGTAAAATATGGATTAAAATTATCTTATAAAATGAGACAATTTGCTGCTTTTTTATTGTCAAATTTCACTAAAAAACATTCAGATTTTAGAGTTTTAAGACGTAATCAATTGTATTTTCACAATAACCAATATGATCAATTGGACAAACAATAAGCAGATTAATAAAAAAAAAAAAATTGATGACAGGATCTTTTGTCTTTGATCACATTTAAAATAAGACTATTGAATATAAAATACATAAAATAAAACTTAAATGTTTAAATTGAACTTGTTGTGTATTTGTAGCATTATTACCGCCTGCAGTACCCCAAACTACCCCTCGGGGTACACGTACGTAGAGACTTTACATGACTGTAAATTATGTTTGTACAGTTACGTTACACCTTTATCTGTAACGGTTCAACCAACTAATTTATCTGTATCCGTATATGTACTCGGAGTGGGCGGGGCTTAAACAATAAGTGGGCGGTGCTTAAACAATAAGTGGGCGGGACTAGCTGGAAGCCTGAAACTGATACGAGTTCATTAGAAGTTGTTATATTTGTTAGAAAACTATTTACAGAATTGCTCAAACAATGTTTTTGATGACAAGAGTAAGATAACTTTTTATACAGAACGTGTTTTTAATAAAAGTTTGTATAATTTTACGAGTACGGATATTGATTTTACTCGTATTTAAACTCTACTGCTTCGTCTGAAATCAATGACCTGTTGCTTCAAAAATTTGTATTTTGAGAAGCAAATTTATGACTATTATCTTCAGGTTTTGGAATTTTATTTGAATATAACGAGACATTTAAGAGACGTCTCGTCTGATGCTGAGAAATTGTGTTTTTCATTAATTTTTTACATTTACAAACTTACTTTTTATCAATTAATTAAAAAAATAATCATATTAATTGATAATAATGAGTTGGTTGCCGCCCTGCAGCAGTTTGAGACGTCTGTCTGGTTTTCTTTGCACACCGACGTTCACACAGCAGACACTATTAACAGTGCGGAGCCAGAAAGAAAAGTCAGAGAAGGAGAGATTAAAAACAGACAAAAAGGCTGTAACCATACCTACTGTAGCGTGGGGATCACGGCGGCAGAAACAGGGTTGGCATTGAAGGAGAGCGCCCACCGATGTGCCGCCGAGCGTGCAGGCACAAAAGCCCCTGGCGTTCGCAGACGCCGGAGGCCGAGCCCGTTAAAGCCTCGCTTGCTTTGATGTGCTCCACAGCTCCGTGAGCGGGAGCGCCGTGGGAGCCAAGCCATCCCCCGCCCCCTCGCTGGAGGACCGAGCCGCGGGCCGCCACACAGGCGGAGAGGCCAGAGTTTGTGCCCGTGACGGCCGGCGGGATGGCGTTTTAGTTGTGCAAACATTTCTGGAGGGAAGAGCTGCTCGTCGGGGCGGAAATAATCTTCCCCTGGTTGTGTTATTTCTGCAGGAAGATTCAGCATTTCGACCACGTTAGTTCACTGGAGCTGATGTTGGTCAGAGGGAAGAACGAGAGCAGGAAGAAAATATGTTACTAAAAAATTTTGCATTATTTTACAAAAAGTTCCAAACAAGAAATGAAGCTAACGTTATCTCCGTTAGCTCGCTACAGCTACGGTTTTAGATTTCTGAAGACGACATCTCGGGCTGTGTGGAGACATTTCGTAGACTATATAATGATACCACATTATCAATCAATATGTGTATCATTTTCTTGATTAATCGATTTAGTTGCTTGGTCCATAAAATGGTGAAAAATTTCTATGAATTATGTCTGCACTTGAAAAACCTGAAACAAGACAGTCAGTGATTACATTTCTGTAGTTTTTGGGCTGAAAAAGTCATTTTCATTATCAATTATTTAATAATTAATTGTTGTTGTGTAAATATGGGAAAAATGTAGATTGCAGCACATTAGACCACAAACAGTTCTCCAATAACCTTATAGTCGCTCAGTGATCAACTGGGATCACTCTGAATTATAATCAATCAAATCGACCAACCCTATTTCTTTGTAAGTTTAACTATTATATTCCTCCTTTAGCTGGGGGACCCCCGACAACCCACTCAAGGACCCCTGTTGGGCCCCAAAACAATACCACGTCGTTTATTAACCCCCGAAATGGGAACCTGTCCCGTTCCCTATTGTTTGTTTACAGAAAACTTTACATTTGATAAAGAATATTTGACATTTTTTCACTATTATTGCTTAAAAAGTGATTAATCAATCATCAAGGTACTTGATATTTCACTGTCGATTAACCAATCACTTGATATATTGATCCAGCTGTAGTGAAGCTTTCCCTCCCCAGTTAAGTGTGTTTACGAGGCTCTTTTACTGGGTCCAGCAGGTCAACAGCTCAGGTAATCAAACAACCTGAATCAGCGACCCTTTATTTGTCTGTATTATTATACCGGAGCAACAATCACAGACAATTCATGTTCAATACTTCTGCTGCTCATTGTGTGAGTGAACAGAGGGGACGATAGGTCGACAGTTAATGCTGAGCAGGTCTATCCTCCACTGGAGTGAGATGTGCAGTTAGAGCTCATAAATCAACGCACTGATTTCATTTACGGCGTCCTGTCGTTATGTTTTGGACTCAGTGAAGCCGGGTTTGTTTTTTCTGCAGCGACGTAACAGCAGATTATTACTTCCACTCAGGATGTTTGTGCTCAGTTTCTGCTTGAAAAAAAACAAACATTTTTACATATTTAATGAAATCCAAAGCCGTGGATGAAGGATTTCTCATTTTTGTTGATTCTCATATATTACTTGAAAAGAAGAAAGAACACTAATCCACACTAGCCGCTAACAAAAGACTGCAGTTCCTCTAACGGCCACTAGAGGCTGGCTCCAGAAGTGAGTCAATCTCCATAAGGCTCCATATTAAAACGCCTGTGTGACAACTGTGCGGGGGTGAAAGTTTATATAACTCACCTGTTTAAATTATAGTAAGGCTTAAAGTTATGCATAACTAAGGCCGTGGCCGCTTGGAGTGACAGGTGAAGCGCACCTGAGACTGATGGGAAAATGATGAGTTTTGCAGGTTTTTAATCATAAACTGAAGTTTTCCTGTTGGTTGCGCGAGATAAAAAACACTTAAAGGATTAATAAAGATATTAGAATTCATTCTGAAGGGAACGAAATTACTTGTTTTAAATTTCATGATAATCCATCGATTAGTTGTTGATATATTTTACTCAAAACCACAAATATCAACCTCGTGGTGGCTCCAGAGGAAAAGTGTGAGGATTACCAAAGTGGGTAGGATTCGTCCTCTAGGTTTCACTAATGTGTGTCTACAATGTTGTAACAATCCATCCAGTAGTTGTTGAGATATTTCAGGACCTCCATAGAGCAAATCTGCTGCTAGCGAGGATAAAAGTGTTGTTTTCTCCTCTTTTTTTGAACCCTTCGGAGGTCTAAAATACTTTAGTTGGGGGGACAAATATGGCTCAAGATGGTAGCATTTGTTCATTAAGTATTTTTTTTAGTTGGCTGACGTATTGATTTAGCATTACAGATGATTAATTAGGTGCCAATGTTTTACAAGTCGATGTTGGCGTGAACACAAATGAGGTGGCAGAGGCAGTTTTTCTGCAGTACTTAATGTGCGTGGCGAATGAGCAGGCCATTACTCAGCACTTCTGTCAGGTCGGTCATGTTTGAATATGTGGTGATGAGATTCGGTAGTAAATCATTGGAGCTCCATTGGTGTTTCCTCGACTCTGAGATCGAAACATGCACAAGGAAGCTTCTCTGTGGAGTTTTTTTAAGGTCCCATCGAGCAGCAGCGAGTCAGCGGATCTGAGCTGATATCTTGGCAGCATATCAGCGATCGTCCGCGGCCCATGAATAGATTTATAAGCAAGTACTCTGATCTTTAAATCTATCCTGAAACCAACTGGAAGTCAGAGCAAGGACTTCAGAACGGGAACAATGAGATCTCCTCTGGCTGCATGGTAATTGATTTACTGACTGTTTGACGTGAGAGCATTGCAGTGGTTGTTTGCTGCTCCAAGTAAAAGCTCGCACAAGAAACGTACTGACCTTTTCATCATTCAGTCATGTTAATTTGCAGTGACTAGAAAATGAGTCAGTCACACATACATTTGTTGCCTATGATGTAATGTCTAGACTTTGTTCTCTCCCTCTTTTATTTACAGGCTTTTTATGTATGTGAGGGTGTAACAAGAGATGAAAAATTAACCGCTAACTACTTTTTTCTCTGTATACAAACAAATCAGAGAAGAAATCAATTAACAGAATGAGGGAACAGAA